CCTGCTGGAACTGCGAGGGAAGCTGTTATGGCAATAACCGTCCCTGCCGCTGCTAGGACCGCCGGGAAAAGACACTGAGGGAAGCCGCCATGCCAATAACCATGTGCCCCGCCGTGAGACCTGTCCCAGCCATTACCAGGACTGCCAGCAACAAAGAGTAGAACTTCAGTCACCAGGTTTGGGCACTCCTGGGGAAGGAAGGCGGCCCAAGGAAGCCAAAGGGTTGGCAGCGCCTCTTTAGGAACCAGCCTGCTTATGTTCTACTGCTGCTGCCAAAGCTGTCCCTGTGGTACAACAGCTGAAGCCCAAGGAGGGAAAACCTGCATTGGCCCCCCTCCCTCAACCAGATTGCTGCCGGAGATAATGGCTCTCAAATGGGGATATTTGCTGGCCTGCGTGGCTGCAAAAGGAGAGCAACAGAAAGAAGTGGGGTTCACAACAGCTGAAGCCCAAGGAGGGAAAACCTGCATTGGCCCCCCTCCCTCAACCAGATTGCTGCCGGAGATAATGGCTCTCAAATGGGGATATTTGCTGGCCTGCGTGGCTGCAAAAGGAGAGCAACAGAAAGAAGTGGGGTTCACTGAGCGGGAAGAGAGAAACAGAGAAAGAATAGGGGATTCTCTGTTGGGGGGGAGAATGACCATTGGTCACTTACCGTGAAGGGTCCTTCTCCTCTGAGGAAAGGAGGACATCTGCATGGGTTATTTCCACCGTGCCAATAGGGAGGCAGGACGTAGATTTTTTCCCCCCTGTTGGTGCCTTTGGAATATCCCAACTGCAGTTCTGGGACTCCGAAAGCAGTCTTGCAGCCTGAAAAACTAACCTTGCCCTATAAAAAACACAACTGCGAACAATTATAACGATTGAATACTCACTCTATCCTGTAACTAAGATAGAGCAGAAATAAAATTGAACAAGAACAGTAAGAACAGGAAGAAAAGATGACAGCGGGAGGGCCCAGATGTCCTCCTTTCCTCAGAGGAGAAGGACCCTTCACGGTAAGTGACCAATGGTCGTTCTCCCTCTGAGGCGGAGGACATCTGCATGGGACCTCCCCGAGCAGTGTCCCTTATCTGGGTGGGTTGTCATCTTCTTCCAGGGAGATTGCATGCTGTAGAACTCTTCTCCCGAAAGCTGCTTCTGCAGATGCCATGGTGTGTATCTTGTAATGCCTTGTAAACGTAGAAAGTGAAGACCACGTTGCGGCCCTGCAAACTTCCTCCACAGAAGCTCTGTTTATTAGCGCTGCATTGGTCGCTGCACTCCTCAGGGAGTGTGCTGTTATGCCAGCTGGAGGATCCTGACCGACGGCTCTGTACGCTTCCACGATACAAGCTTTCAGTATCGCGCTGATTGAAGATTTTGATAGCTTTTCTCCCATGCGAGGTGGGGAGATGCCAAGAAACAATGAATCGGACTTCCTCCAAGAATCCGTCCTCGCGATGTAAATCTTCAAGGCCCTTCTAACGTCCAGTGTGTGCCAAAGACGTTCTTTAGGGTGCTTAGGTTGCGGACAGAAGGTTGGCAAACATATCTCCTGAGAACGATGGAATCTAGAATCCACCTTGGGCCGAAAGGTAGGATCAGTCAGAAGTACTACTTTGTCTTTGTGGAATGTGCAGCAGGAAGACCTCACCGATAATGCGTTCAGCTCGGAGACTCTCCTAGCTGAAGTAATGGCGACTAGAAACAGTGTTTTCATTCGCAACCATTTTAGTCCGACTTCTCGGAGAGGTTCAAATGGTGGTTTCATCAGAGCGTCCAGAACAACGTTTAGTCTCCATGTCAAAAAGCGGTGCGTTTGAGGAGACTTGGCTATTGCTCCTTGAAGAAACAGTTGGATGTGAGGATGTTTGGACAA